TAGGGAGCTCGGGCTCCTGGTACCGAGCTCGGACTTAGGGAGCTCTGGTTTTAGGGAGCTCGGACCTTTGACAGGGAGCTCGCTCTTAACAAGGAGCTCGGACTAAGTACAGCGGTCTGGAGTTCGRGYTYGGTAGTGAGTTTGGACTTGCTTCCGATATTCGCTTTGGGTGCTCTACTGTCCCGAGCTGCTTGCCTTTGCCACGTGTCGGGCGATCGCGAGGCCGGGCCAAATTTCCCTTCATCAATGACCAGTCTTCAGTTGGTCCCACCATGAAGATTAAGTGTGCCAAAAATCAGCCAAAAACATGATTGTTAGGTGGGACCCTTTCAAATTTCAATAGTGGGCTCTAATATTCTCTCTATATACACCAGGTTGCAAGTTATATATGAAGCTTCAGTTGCAGTCTTGCAGATCCTCTTCCCATGATTCTTGGATTACCTGGTGCGGGGTACCGGAGTTTTATGTCCAACGGCCAACGCTAAACGGCTTCATAAATGGGTTGGATCTACGTAGTGGACCTCATTTAAATAGAATAACTCATGGGCTGGAACTAGGCCCATGTCTCAGATTTGTGCGAGCTTTTCAAACCACAAAACAAAATTTTATTGGGCTGGGATCAATTATCATTCTTATGATATTATAATTGTAAACAATCATCACTAACTGGAAGGACTATCTTCTGCAAGCTATTCTTTCTGTATGTGCTTCTTGCTGGATTTCTTTTGCACCCAAAATAAGGGGAAATCCATTAAAAAAGGCAAATGGTGAAAAGTGAAAACTCATTGAAAGAAGAAAAGAGAAACAAAATAAGAGAGATGCATTTGACTGTAAAGCTTACGTCTATGGTAATGGCCTAATGGAAAACTCTGTCAACGTAATTGTCTTCTTTGCTAGTACAATCCTATATAAATGAAACCCTAATAGAGAAAAGAACCCAATCACAAGCACTCATGTGTCAAATAACGGGTATTGTCTGTTGCGTGTTACGTGGGTTTTAAAGCTTGCTATGGCAGTGTTTCTGTATCACATGTCAAACCAAATATTTTACCTACTGGTTATACAAGTAAGTCCTTTAGGCTGCATTTGAAAACGATGCATATATATGTGTAAATGTAAATATGTAGCGTGTAAAACGAATCATATAAATTGTAAAGTTGGATAAATTTTACATTAACAGATTTATCTTCTTATCAAACAGATTCTTAGTTGTAATAGATGCAAAGTGTAGTTAATTCAATGAAATCCGACAGTTAACTAGTTGAGATTAGGTAGGTATACAACAATGTTCCTCTTAGCTTGTATTTGGTTTGAAAGAAAATCAAAGAGAAAACAGAAAGTTGAGAGTAAGTTTTTAAGAAATTTCATAAATTTTACTTCCACTTTCTATCTTTTATTTTCTATCAAACCAAACGTGAGTTTAAGGGCTGACTTATTTACAAATTACAATATCAATTGCTTCCCAAATATACTATTGCCTTTTGTGTATACGGAAAGTAATTAGGGACGCAAAAATATACGAGAACTAAACCGGAAAGTCTGGCATATGCATAATGTTGCAAACCTCAGTTTTTTTTTTTTTTGATGAAACGGGATAATAACATAAATAACATAGGGGCTACACATGTCAGGTTATGTATTGATTCCACTAACCCCAGTTACGTGGTGGCCTTGTGGCATGTTTTACCCACCAATTTTCGGGTTAAACAGTTCAATCGTCTGATCTGAACAGATCAGTCAAATGACATTTTTTCTAAATTAAGAAAAATAACTAAAATGAAAAGGGGTTTTTAAATAAAAATAACCTAAGTCTGGGTTGAATGGTTTAACGGTTCAACTGTGGTTTGCTGAATGTTTCAATAGATGAAAAATGAAACTGGATGGATGGCCGGTTTCTGGATGGAACAGTTTGACCGTCGGTCCGATGAGGTCAATTAAAACCATGGTTTTGCCATTTTGGAAACCGGTACATCTCTGCCATGTATTGGGTCTTAAAGAATTTTTCAACCGTTAAGTGAAATCCTTGAATAGGTTTTATTCTATAATATGCCCCCTTACATGAGAGTCCAATGGGCTTAAAGAATGGATAGCACAAACCCGCTCATATCTTGTGCTGAAACTTAATTAATTATAATAGGGGTGATGAGAATCGAACATTAAATCATTTGGTCAAAGTGACTATGATACCATCTTAAAGAACCATTCAACCTAAAAGCTTTGGGCCATTAAGTGATATAATTGAATAGATTTTATTTTTTAACATCCAAAGCATCTCATACTATTAGAATCAATGATGTCATCAGGTACACATGGGAAATGTGCTGTGGGACGTTGTGAGGCGCCCCGTGTGGGGCAGATGTGAACTCTTGTTTGTGACTGGAAGGGCATACGTGATTTATCCTAGACAGGGTAATGGCAAGGGTATATTGGGAAAAACGTTTTTTCGTTTTTTGATTTAAGCGGGAGGAGAGAACAATGGTGCGAACTGCGAAATCTCGTTAGAAGGTAGAAAGTAGAAACTGATGGATTGTGAGTTTCGCGCCCTCGAAAACCCTAGAAAGTGGAGGTTTACATGGGAAACCCAAGCTCACATCCCAATCCTTCGGTTGTTTCTTTTCAATCCGAACATCAAACCTGTAAGTCAATGCCAGAATTTGAAGGTCTCTTTGAACTTCGAGGACTTTATGCTTCAGGTTGGCTGGATTGAAGGGATCAATGATGGAATTCTCAATTTATCACTTACGGTTCCCGTACCCAGGGTTTTGGTTGATTTGGACTCTTCCGTAGATTTTAGAGCGACGGAGGATCACATTGAGGTTAAGCTTGCTCTGCTTCTTCCAGTTGATCATCCGATCGTTACGAGCCTCATTTCTGCACAGGATTTTCCCGACGAGGGTTTTGTTAATGAAAGTGGGCTTTTGGATAGATTGCAGCCTCTTTCAGTGGATTCTGGTAAGAAAATTTCATGGTCTTTTCATTTCAGACTCTGACAGCAACATGTTATTGCTGTACTTAGCTTATTTATTTTTTCATCTATTTTGCGCTTACTTGTGTTATTGTTATTACGAGCTAGTAGTCTGTTGTCACAGACTTAAATATGATATGAATTCATCGTTCTTTAGGTTATCGCTTGGAAAGTGTATCGTCCTTTGCTCGATTGCTTCTTTAACTTTAAGTACATTCTTATTTGCATGAACATTCACAGATATCCGAATTTCAAATAGTTATAGTGTTGATATTAGGTAAACAATGAGAAACTATTTCCCTAAGAGTGTCTTAAAGGTGGTTTGGGTAATCTCATGGAAAGCATTTAGGCTACCTCGTTGTGCTAATTAGGGAATTATATACTGCCAATTAAGCTATGTTGGGGTAATTTAAATGGTTGTACTTATCTGGAGCATGCGGTTTCTTTAGCCACTGCCCGTTCTGATGGTATAGGAAGACACTGTAATGCCATTTATAACACTTCCTTTTTTTCTTGTGAAATGAAACCAATGCTTTCCTGCCTCAATTGATGCATATGTTGCATGTTAGCTATTAGGCAAGATGGTTGTTTCTACGACTAGCAATGCACAACGCCATTATTTTTGGGTTGGTTGGATATATGGCATTTTCTAGTTTTGAGGTCCTGCTGGTAATGCGATTATGCTTTACTTTAGATGAAAGGTTAGCCTTTTTTTATGGTGATTCAAGGGAATCCCGTAGAGAGGAGATCAATTATTTATTATTGGTAGTACTTGATGACTTATCAGGTATTTGGACTTCATTGGGTAGTAGCAGTGATCTTTCTCACAGTTTCTGTACTCAAATTGGTCTTATTTATGTTTAAGACTCATATTACCTGTGCCTATGAAGTTTACAAATGAGTATAATCAGGGTAAGATTATAGAGACTCCAATTAATTGCCATACATAAAATGTATTCTTCTTTTGTCTGGTGGGGTTCCTCAGATGACTTGCATTTACAGAATTATGCATCTCGTTTACTTTGTGAGATACATTATCTCATTTACTTTCATGTTGATTAGTTCTATATCTAAAAAACATTAGCTAAGTTTATAGTTACACGATTTTCTCTGCAAATTGATTTGTTTTATTCTTGTAATATATTTTCTGGTCATTTTATCTTCACCATGGTATGATTTAAAGTGTTTCTGTAGCCAAAACAGTTGCACGCATTTGTCTGTGTGCACAAAAGTCAAATTTTATTTAACATGGTTCAATTTGGCTTGCACTCTGGGTTATCTGTTGTTTGGTAATTACTTGGTCCAGAAGAATCAGGCAGTATAGGGCTTTGTTCATGTAAAACATGTTCTATTATCTACTATCTAGCAATACAGTCACTAGTTTGCTTGTAGGTTCTTTTTCTTTTGCATTTCTAATACTATATTATACAATTATTTAGATATAAAGAACCTATCTTCTTGTGGAGGGGTGTATTTCTACTGCAAGAATTGCTCAACTCAGTTGACAGTGAGGCCTCTGAGGTAGTAACCATTTTTTCCACTTTTCCTTCTATTGCTTTTAGGGTTTCAAATATCTGCTTTAATTCTAGATTTCTAGTTACTTGCCTTTACATGTTGAACACTCATTGAGAATGTTTCCTTGGCCCTTGGACTCCTTTCTTGAATCTTTTTTTTTTTGATAAGTAAAAGTTCATTAAAATTTCATTAAATCAGTAATGATAAGCAACTATTACAAGCTTCCTAGGGGGAGGCATGAGGTGCAGCCTCACTCTTAAAGAAAAAACAGCACAAGAATTACAAATGAGCCCTATACAACTGATCCCTAATTACCCCTTGCTTAGCTAAGGAATCAGCCAAAGCATTAACCTCCCTCCCCACCCATTGTATAATCAAACTCATCTGTTGTGTTAACCATATGAACTTCTTCATTTCATCTCGATAACACCACATCACTGAATTCGGCTCTTCTAGCCAGCCCACCACCACCTTGGAGTCCCCTTTAGTCACTAGGTTCTCCAAGTTCATCTCTTTTGCAATCTGAACACCTTGTAGGACTGCATACAGTTCAGCTTTTAAAGAGTCTTCATTCCCCACTGGTCCTGAATAAAGTGCTACCATATTTCCTTCCTTATCTCTTATGACCCCTCCGATTATGGGACTTGGGTTGCCTTGATTTCTCCCATCAAAATTTGATTTCAAAAAGACCTTCAATGGGAGGTACCCAAATCAACCTTCTTTTAGCTTTCTGTATTAAGCTAGAAGTCGTTGAAAACCAGTTCCTCCAAATATCATCAAAAGAGAACTGTCTAAACTAATCCAAAGTTAGTAGCCAATGTATAACCCTGGTCATTAGACTCATTACATAGTCCATAATTTGTTGTTTACTTCTCTCCTTCTCTTGGAAGATCTTAGCTTGTCTTTCTTCCCATAAGGTCCAAATCACTATTGCTCTAGTGCATCTCCATGTTATCCTTCCTCTTCTCTTTGGCCAAGCAAAGGTAGATGGATCAAACAACATCCTAGGCCCTGTTTGGCAATGTTCCCACCTGTTCCTATTCTTTTAGAAATTCCTGTGCTAGAACAAGAATTTTATTTCTTGCTCCTTGGGAGTAATAGAGGCGTTTGGCAAGATGTTTTTTGAGAACGCATTTTTGTTCTATTGAAATAGGAATGGCGTTTGGATAACGAAACTATTTCTTAATTTGAATAAACGAATTCAGATGATGGAAACTCGACATCTGTTAGAGATGATTGTTGTTGGAGAGTAGTTTGGGTGAATCTAGCTAGAGCAACGACGAGTAAAATAGAGCAATGATGAGTAAATAAGGTATGATGAGAAGGAATATACCTACCTGTTTACGTGAATTTGGCTGGAAATGTTGCCAGAGCTTTGTACCATTTGCTTGACATCCGGTTGTTGACGCAACCGGAGCCAAGGGAGTTCCCTCCTCTGAGATGTGCAGCAGCAATGAGGTAGTGTTGAATGAATGAAAGGTGGTTGTTTAGGGCTTGTTTCTATCATTTCGTGTGAAATACCAAACATACCCCTTCTCTTATGTGGGAATTGATGGCATGTGTTCGTTAATATGCATTAACGCTGTGAGAACCACACATTCTCTAGGAACACGTTCTTTTAGAGTGTCGATTTATCACTGTTGTTCTCACGCGAGAATAGCTTGTTTCTTTCTTTTTTTTTTTGGTACCAAACGCATTCCTGCTCTGCGAGAACATCAGGAATGATAGAAATGTCCATACAAAAAGAAGAATCAATCCCAAATATTTGCAACAAAGGAATAGAAAATTATTAAGTGGTGTTAACAAGATTCACTTTTAGATTTACAATGATTGCACTAGTTTGGGGAAATACACAAAAAAGGCCTATTCTTTTGCAAGTAATCCAGAGTGTTAACTTTTCCCATGAACCACTTCCCAACAAAAAGCCTTAATTTTAGGGGGAATCATTTGACACCGAACTTCCTTAATAGGAATGAAATGGGGACTGGCAAAGAGCATTAAAGAAAAAAAAGAGGCATAGGAAAAGAAACCTTTAGAATTTGGGCACCAAACCCTTCTATCCGGTTTAGAAGGCTCTAAGCAGACATTCAAGAAGAAACAAAAGCTCTGACAAATAGATGACTTTTTCATCCCTCAATCCCCTTCAAAACCCAAAATCTCAATTATGACCCAAAGGTAAGATAGGAGGGATTTTGAGATATTCTCATTTTTGTATAAGGAAATGGAATGCAAAGAAGGAAACAAATCCTTTAGAGGCTGGTCACCAAACCAAATGTCTTTCCAAAAGCGGATTAAATTCCCTGGACAAACATCATGCCTAATAAACCTGAGGAAATGAGGGAGGACGCTATGGATTGCTTTCCAAGGTGTCGGCGTAGTAGCCCGATGTGATACACCAACACCCCATCCACTCTCCAACCTCCCATGAATACTGTCCACCACCTTATGCCACAAGTTATCCCTCTTTAAAATCTATCTCCATAACCACTTCCCTAAGAGAGCCATATTCTTCTTTCTCACATTCCCAATTCCTAGAGACCTAAACTACCTTCTTTCTTGCTTTTACACACAATCTCCCACTTAATTAAGTGATCTTTTTTAGCCTCTCCCGACTCCTAAAGGAAATCCCTCATAATTTTTTCTAATTTCTTCTCTTCCCTTGGTGGAATCTTAAGCATAGAGAAGAAGTAGATTGATAGGTTAGTCGAAGTTGATCTTATTAGGGTGATCCTACCTCCCAACGAGATATAATTCCTCTTCCAAGTGGTCAATCTCCTTTCACATCTTTTTACAATTGGGTTCCAAAATCTACTTTCCTTAGGGTTGGCACCTAGGGGAAGACCCAAGTAGGTCAATGACCAAGGGTTGATAGGACCCTCTAAACAGCCCACTACCAAATTTAAGGCATTGTCCTCCATGTTAATCCTTGTTATGCAACTCTTATCTAAGTTGATTTTCAAATTTGAGATTCTTTCAAACTTCTTGATCTGTTCTTTCAATCTCCTCACCCTCCTAGCATCTCCCCCTTCACAAAATATTATGATATCAACTGCAAATTGGAGGTTAGTACTTGGAACGACTCCTTTCTTGAAGCTTTGTTCATATAGCTTCTTGTTCAACTATGAATTTATATAATTATAGAAGCAGTGTATGTGTAAGATTGCAATATGCTTGTGTGAATTTCATGCACAAAAGTTAGTCTCCAAATATTAATTATATATTAATTATAAAATTGTGGGTTTCAATCTGTGTTTACAGAGGTATTCATTGGTGTATATCATTGCACTTATAATCTATATTATGTGAGAGAGGAAATATACAAAAGAATTTCAATAGAATGGTAAACAAAGAATTGTACAAATAATACAATAACATCAGAAAATGAGAAAGGAATTGTGACATCTTTTAAGTTTTGCAGAAGCTTGTGACTGTAGTTAAGTGGTGAGAATTCTATGCTGTGGTAGCTGTAGAGACTTGCCCTTGAACCCTAAGAGCAATACAATATGTGTAGAAGGGTCTAGAAGAGCTAGGGTTCTGCCAAAATGACTTGGTTGAAGGTATTGAGAAATGACTTGACAGCTAACAATTTGACAGTGGATGTTTCACTTGATAGAGTGGAATGGCCAAACATGATGTTGTAGTAGTTGGGATAAGGCTTTGTTGGGTTGATTTGAGTTTGGAAGAATATCAGCAATGAAATTGTGGCTGATGATGATGCTATTATTTCTCCTTTATGTTGTCCTCACTTTTATTCATCTTCTAGAGGCTTTACCAGGGTTTACACCTGGTTCTTGTCCTTGCCTTTGGTTTCCTAGCTTTGCCCTTTGAATTTGAATGCACTGAATTTATGTAAATTCATCTTTGTAAGGATTATACTCGAAAAGAAAAAAAGGAAAGCCGTTGAAGTGGATTTGAGTGCCATGTCTCATTCCTTTCGGATATGCTCCTATAAATTTTCTCGTAGTTGTTGAGGTAGTGTTCTCACTGCAATTGTGATTAGTAAACTTACACTGTCCTTCACACATACTGATTCAGAAGTTCTTTAGAACCTTGTACTGATCAATGGTAATAGGGTTCCTATTTATATCATTTTATCTTTTAATTTGAATACAGCAATTCAAGTGACCCAGTTAACTTTTATAGAAAATCAACTTTAAGTTACTCTTGAGAATTTTCTTGTACAGATTTTTTGTGGAAATGCCATCGGTTAATTGGAGAGAGGTAGCTGATAACTGGTTTGGAGCCTGCTGCTGTTCGTTTGGAGGTGCAAGTGAGAAGATGGTAACTAAGTATGCCAATTCATATGATTGTGCAGAAGGTACTTGCCTAGTAGATGCAGCATCTGTTGTTGTCTGCGAGAGTGACCTTGCTGGATTACCGTTCCATAAGTTAAAACATGGCTCAGAACCTGATCTTATTGGTGAAGTTGATCGTGCTGAAGCTCTGACAGATTCTTGCAGTATTGATTGTCAAAGTGACCAGACATCTGATATCAATGAGAGATTATTCTGCATGTCGCTTGTGAACAAAAATTGTTCTGCAAACATTGAAGGTGGCCATGCTGAAAAGAAAAAGGACTCTAGTGCTTTACTTGGCACATCTCCTACAATGTCAGATGGATATGTGACATCAGCAGATGAACTTTCTGCCAAGAATCTTGGTTGTTATGAGCATGAAGGCTGCTCACATAATGCATCTGTAATATGTTCTAAGTTTGAAGCACAAGAGTCTAGAGAACATATTGGACATCTAGTAAATCAAATGCCACTTCTGAATGGATATCTTGGAAGTGGTTTTATGGTCAGATCCTCCAATATCTCAAAAGATGTTAAGTGGATTGAATTTCTGTGTACTCAGTGCTCATCTCTCCTTGGAGCTTACCCATGTGCTAGTAACAATGACGTGCCACTAGATGGTGGCATCCGGCTATTTAAATGTTACATTTCCACTGGTTTGCCAGTTGGTGGATCAGGCGACGTATTTAGGTGAGAAAATATTATCTGCAACTTGATCTAAATTACAATGTTATGTAGACCAATCAAACCATAAGAAGCATGTAAGTTCCTCTTTTTTCCTCTGATAGTAAGATGCATTAATGCTCTGGGCTATTGTTATAGTTACATAACGTGTAATCATTCCCTACTTATTTAAGGTATTTCAAAAACCTTCAATTTCAGAAAGGGGTACTGGTATGCTCTTGACGAGTGTGGATCTTGAGATGGTGCAATGGATTCATTTTTATTTTTTTGGATCTCACATTCTTTTGTATTTCTGGTAATTGATTTAGAAGTTTAGTTTATGGATCCCGCATTCTTTTAATTCTGGAAGCTTTAGTCAAGTTGCCTTGTGATGGTATTCTGCACTTTGAGTTCAATGAACTTTACTTTAAGCACCCAAAAAGATGAGGTCAGAAAGAACTCATTCAAATTAACCCAGGAGTAGCTCCAATAGATGATAAAATGAGGGAAAATACACTTAAGATGGTTTGGTCATGTGCAGAGAAGACCATGTGCAGAACCTATAAGAAGTTATTTGTTACAAGTTGAAGGGGTTAGAAGCGAGGTTTTAAAGGACAAGGCAGAGGCAAGGTGGTTGGGTGTAAGCCTCAAGTTGGTTTGAGGAATAAGTCTATATATATAAGTCTTGCTGTCTCTCTCTCTCTCTCTCTATATATATATAATTTTATGTATGTCAGTACAATTTATTTCTTTTTTATAATATGAATCTTTTGTTTTTGTATTTTTTATTTTTTATGTATATTGCCTTCTCTATTAAATTAAATGATCTATACATACATACTAAATTTATTGTAATTTTTATGCATTTAAGGATGCAATGTATTTTTTTCATAGCAATTTTTCTTATATTTACTTTCATATATATATATATATATGTTTTAATATTGACCCTATGTTTTTAAAGTTCTATTTTTAAGTTTGTTTCAAGGTTATAACCTTCTTTACCTAAATAAAATTAACCATCTACTTAATTTGCATATTTCCTAGTTTATTCATACATATATAACGAATTGAATTTATTTATAATTTCTTTATGCAATTTGGATACAAAGTATTTCTTCCATAGTTAATTTAAGTATTTGCATTTTATTATATTCTTCTCAATATTATGATATTTTTATATTTTATTTTACATTTATAACCTGTTCTACTTGAGTAAAATAATATGTTCACTAAATTTATGTATATTCTAGTATTTTTCAATATAATCTAATTTATAAATGAGGAAGAATGTCTTGTGTTGAGGTTGAGGAATTAATACCAGCAGGGGGGTCTGTGGGGGGAGATAAATGGGCAGACATTTTATTAAATTTTAAATGGCATATGTTTTCATTTGTGGTCTAGGTGTGCTTGATAATGATTCTAACTTTTCTCTTTTATGTATTATTGCATTTTCTTCTCCATTTTCCATATGAGTTTTGTGTTCTTGTCTGTGGCACTGATCTCACCTTGTTGTATTGGTCATTTTGAGTACATATATCCAATGTTAAAATAATTTCTTTATTAATTGATCTGAAATGCCTTGAGCAGGAAGCACACTCTGCAAGGCATGCTTGTCAATCAGCTATTGGAAAGTGCAATGGATGAATTATCATTCCGAACATTGGTCAGGGATCTGAGTTCCAAATTACCTGTTCTATGTATTGTCCTCCTAAATCCTGATGCTTGGTGTTGCACTGGACATTGTTTAGAAATGGAAGGGACTGTTGGACCTGTTTCAAAAATATATCTGCACCCTGTTGTTAAGGTGTTATTTTCTGAATGCAGTGATCCTTCAGAAGTCCAAACAAGGTTAGTTGGTTAGCTTTGATTTGATATATGTTCTATTTTCTTTGCATTTGCACAGTTAAAGGATGAAAAAAAGAGTATCAATTAAAAGCCGGACTTCTATTTATTTTACAAGTATTCTCAGTTGTACTTGAATTAGGTAAGCATGGAGAACTGAGAAACCTAATTCAATGATGAAAACTAGCTCACTCTCTAGGGTTGTGATCTTTGATTGGGAAAAGTAAAATTTTACAGGGATTCATTTGTAGACATGGTCACAAATCACTGAACCATGTTAAAGCTTGTTTGTTCTTCTCTGTTATTGCATTTACTTTGTTTTTTTCTTGATTTCTAACACAATAATATCTTCAACTTTTTTATTCATTTGTTTGGACAAAATTTTGTATAATCTCTTGAAATCTAACTCTTGTTTCAAGGCCCATGTACTTGCAAAATTAGTGTCACTTTCCATTGTTAGTATGTAGGTTCATTTTGTCAAGCTATTTGAGAGGTAATGGGTGACTTTTCCAATGATTTGTTTTGGGTGGAACTAGCTACATTTTCTATTACATTTAAAGGAAATAGCTTCTTAGTTACCATATGATTGGAAAAGTGGAGCATTATCAGGCTTTCCTAGTTATATTTGTTAAGGAATTTGATGATCTGGATGGTGTTTGGAAGAAGGGAAGCAGGATGAGGGAAGGGAGCAATGTAGGGTGGGCTTGGATTTGGCAAAAGGGACATTTCGATGGTTCAAAACAGAAAGGATGAGGGTGGTTGGAGTGGTATCAGCTTTGGGTTGGAAGAAAAGCAAGGAACCGGAGCCTCTTTTGCTGAAAAAGCCCAATTGCTGACCTGGTCCACTAAAGGAAATACAAACTTGAAAGTCTGTTTTGGTATCTGTTATTTTGAACTAGACAGATGTGGGGAGTGGCATCAAAAAGTGTTTCTTGAAGGTTGCTTGTTAGAAGAGGTGGGCATGAGCTTGTTGATGGCAGAGCTGCAATGATGGGAGGTAATGCAGTAGGGTATGATATTGGGGGTGAGGGTGTGTCATGAGTGAGAGAAAATTTCTCTTCATCCTTTCATTGAAGAACGGAGTTAGTAGGGTGCTGAACACTGGGGCAAGAAATGTTGGAGGGGCATTGTTCCATCTTTACCGGTGGGAACAGGGGGTTGATGTCTGGAACAAGGGAGTTTCTGAGCCGACTAAAGTTTGGGTGCGCATAGTGGGCTTACCTTTGTACCTTTGGTGTGAATATTTGGTTTGATTTTGGAAGATTGGTGATTTTTGTGGAGGCTATATTGAAACTGAAAACTCGGAGAGAGCTAAGGAAATAGTTGAGTGGATTGGAATAAAATGCAAATGGAAGGGCTATCCACTGAAGGAGGTGAGAGTGATTGACCAAAAAAGGACTTTAGTGGTACCCTTGTGGATGGAACTCAAGCTGGAGGAGGTTGAAGTTTGACCCTCCATTGGAGATGTGTGAAGAGTAGGTCTAGTAGGATGTTAATGAAGTAAGCTTGTTTAAAGTGAATGGAGAGCTAGATGTGAATAGAGTTGAGAAAGGAAAACAAGTAGTAGTTGCTAATAGTGGCGATGTCAAGGGTGGTCTTTCATTAGAAAGAAGATTGGTTGCCAGTGTTGTGGAAGGAAAAAGGGCCTCACAATCCAATGGAAACAAAGGACATGTGGCTTGTATTATAGAGGTTGGATTACCTAGGATTGAAGGTGATGGGGCTATGGGTGATCCGAACTGTAGCTGCTCTGTAGTCGATTTGCAAAAAGATGTAGGAGGTAGTAGATTGTCAAAGGTTCAAATTTCAAACTAGGAGCTTTTGATCGAAGCGGTGGTGGGAAGATGTCTTGACTCTTGAAAGACTAAGGGTGATATTGGAGAGTTGGTAGGGTGATCACGGGCCAAGTCGAGCTTTACATTATAGCCTAGGCTCAGGCCTGGCCTAGCTTGGGGTTTCGGGCTTGAAACATAAGCCCGAGCCTAGATCTACTGATCTACACAGTTCTAGGCCAGGCCAGGCCTGATTTTGGGCCAATGTTTTTCATATATAAAACATTACATATATATAATATTTTATATTAAATGACATATATACTTATTTTATACATTATATAATATAAATTATACTTGTCATATTATAATATTTATATAAAAAATATATAATGTAATATTAAATAACACGTGTACATGCATATACATTATACATAAAATGTGTATGCTTAAATATATGTGGGCCAGCCGAGCTTGAAGTATTAGGCCTAGGTTCGGCCCTAAAATTTGTGGGCCTGATGCAGGCTTGGGCCTGGGCTGGGCTGAAATGATCACCCCTAAGAGTTGGTCTCAAGTTTAATTGGAGGAAAGGGAGTGAGGCCCAATGTTTCATCTAATGGGAGGGTAGAGGACTGGCGTTCAATGGGAAGGACATGCCCATCTAAGTGCAGCCAATGGATTTGATCAGGAAAGGCTGGACACTTCTTTTGGGCCAAATTGGACTTGCACTGTGGACCCAATTGGGGAGTATTACTAACCCGATTCATACCCAAAACCTTGTTGAGGTGGGAAATAAGGAGTTAGTAGGCTCGAGAGAAACTGGTTCAAATGTTAAGGTATGGAGGTTGAAGAAAGGGGTGGTGAGGAGGGAGTGACCATCCAAGTTAATAAGAGGACAGCGAGAAAGGTGTAGAGTGTTTGGAAAGTCCTCTGGCTACTATTCTAGCCGCCAAGTGGAAATGAAGCACTTTAGATAGTATGGTGCTTGATGGTGGAAATACAGGTACATTACTGGGTTCTTCTTTTGGGGATTGGGGGGGGGGGGRGGGAAGAGGCATCGCCTTGGGTTCTCTCTCAAAGCTTCTTTCTATGGGGGAAGTCCTTGGAGAGTGGATCAGAGGAATGGAGGAAACAAAGTTTCTCCTTATGGAAATCGAAAAGAAGGCCTTTGAGGAAAAGGGGTGGAAAAGTCGAAGAACTAACAAGGAGTTATTTGTTTAGCTTGGGGGCTTAATGATAGGGATGGAAGCAGTGCTCAAGGGGGAAGGGTGTAAACGGTTTTGAGGATTTTTCTTGTTTCATTGAGGGTCTCAGGATAATTACTTGGAATGATACATTATGATAGGGTCTAAATTTTAGTAGAAGCATTGTTACTAACAATTTTTTAAATAAGTGGCACCCAAGTATCTTGTGTCTGCAGGAAACAAAGTTGGAAAGGGTAGGGGTGGTGGTGGTGAGAAGCATTTGAAGGCAGAGAGATTGTGATTATGCATTCGCTCTATTAGAAGGGATAGTAGGTGGAATTCTGGTATTTGAGGCCTTACTGTAGTTAGGCTAAGGGATAAGTTTTTGGGTCATTTTTCAGTTTCTCTGCGCCTTGAGTTAGTAGTGGATGATTTCAGTTGGGTGCTGGTGACAGTTTATGGTCCTAACGAGGATGGTGATAGGGCTCTATTTTGGGATGAGTTGGATGTAATCCATTTAAGGTGGGACTCTCCTTGTGTATTGGGGGAGTTTTCAGTGCAGTGAGATTCTCTTTTGAGAAAAAGGGGGTACATGTAGAGGAAGCAGGGTAAGGAGCTTCAACCAGTTTATGAACAAGTGGAGCTTGTTTGATCTTCCTTTGACAGGAGCGAAAGTTACTTGGACTAATAATCAGGAAACCCTTGTCTTGGTTAAAATTGGACAGGTTTTGCGGTTACTCTAGATTGGGAGGAAAAGTTTCCTAATTTAAGTCAAGAGGCATTGCCAAGACTTGTTTTTGATCATGTTATAGTTTTGCTAGATGATGAAGATATCTCGCCCAAGAAGGCACCTTTCAGGTTTGAGCAAAGCTGGTTTGAAGTTGAAGGTTTTGTGGATTTGTTGCGTAATTGGTGGGTAAGTTGTGAGGTGTCTGGTTTTGCCATGCATATTTTTGCTACAAAGCTTGCTTTCTTAAAGGAAAAGCTGAAATTGTGGAAGAAAGAGATTTATGGGAAGAATGAGATCCTCAAGAGGGAATGTCTATCGACTGTTGCAGAGGACAATAGAGCAGAGGAACAGGGTCCCATTGCTCATACGGAGGACAGAAGATTGAAGGCAAATTGACAGGTTGGCGTATCAAGATGAAATTAAATGGAGACAGGGATCTTGTTGTTTGTGGCTAAAACAAGGGGACAACAGGCAAGTGGAAGACGAAGGGAAAACCCTATTAAAAGTTGGAGATCGGTGGGGGAGCATAATTGATTTTTATAAGGAGCTATTTAAAGAGAAGTGGCACCGTAGACCAAAGCTTAATGGGCTGGAGTTTGATAGTTTGTCTTCAGAAGAGGAGAGAGAGTTGGAAAAGCCTTTTGAGGAAGAAGAGAAGCCGTTTACGAAATGGAGGCCAATAAAGCCCCTGGCTTGGATGGGTTTATGATGGCTTTTTATAAGAATTGCTAGGGTTTTCTCAAAGAAGTCCTGTTGAAGGTGTTCTTGAAGTTTAATTTTGATGGTGTTTCGGAAAAAAGTCTAAATTCAACTTTTATTTCCTTAATCCCAAAGAAAAAGGATGCTGTAAACATGAAGGATTTTCGTCCTATTAGCCTGGTTGGAAGTGTATAAATTATTGCGAAGGTGCTTTCTTGTAGAATAAAAAGAGTAGTGGGGTCTATTATCTCAAAATATCAAAGTGCATTTGTTGGAGGGAGGCATATTTTGGATGGAATTTTGGACTCTTGGATGAGTAGAGGTGAAGAGGGGTGTGCTTATTAAAGTGGATTTGGAGAAGGCCTCCTGGTTGGAAGTATGTATAAATTATTGTGAAGGTGCTGTCTTGTAGAGTAAAATGAGTAGTGGGGTCTATTATCTCAAAATATCAAAGTGCATTTGTTGGAGGGAGACAGATTTTGGACTCTTGGATGAGTAGAGATGAAGGAGGGTGTGCTTATTAAAGTGGATTTGGAGAAGGCCTATGACCATGTTAGCTGGTCTTTTCTGGACTATATGCTCAAAAGGATGAATTTTGGGACCAAATGGAGGAATTGGTAA